TAAGAATACAATTAGTTGTGGTGGTGGTAGCTTAATGTTGATATTCATCAAATTGATTATATTAATCAAATTGCTTTTTATGTGACGATATAATTGCATATTTGATTGTATCACTGGCAGTGGTGTTTGTGGTTGTGGTGTTTCTATTTGTAATATATTAATTATTATAGTATTATTGTTATTGTTATTATTCATATCATTACTATTATTCGATTCGATTTCTTCAGATTCTTTATAAAAAGGTCGTACAAACGTAAATCGAAATTTAGTTAGTCCACTAATGAATTCCACTTTACATATTTCCCCATCCGTTCCAATCAGAGTATATAATCCAGTTCACTTGTTTGATGTATTGCTACCTTTTCCTTTTCTCTATACTAAAACTTGTAAATTAAGCGGTAGAGTAAGGACTGATGTCGTGGATAATCCATTCCTCAGTCTAAGTATTTCTGTAACCTGTCTCTTAGCTCGTATATGATATACTTCTATTATAGCTTTCTTTATAGCTTTTGCATATTAAATGATTATCGGGGTTGGTAGATTAATATCACTCAATCTAGGGTATATCCCATAAACTAGCAGTATGGAAACAAGCCTATTCGGTTCGGCTGTATCATTCACAGCTTTCACTGCCATTTGCAAAATCATTGCTTTCATCAAATTGTCATCTTCAAGCTCTTTAGTTAAGATCTCGTATGTATGGTGTAGGGGGTGATGATATTTCTCCACTATACCTACAAAGTTGTGTACTTCAACTGGTATACTCTTGATAGTGATTGATATAGATTTTGTATTCTGGACAAACTCTTTATTCATAAAATTCTTTCCTGCATCATAAATAATATAATCTGATAATCCTATATATACGTCAATTCAGCACTCTCGAAGAATATCGAATGTATACTTAGCTGAAATGTTTTCAAGGAACCAAGCTGTTTGATAGTGTATTGCCTCGTTAACAATATGCAGAACTGGTTTGTCTATAATATATATAATATCGATATATATAGTATAATTAAATTCAGTATCCTCTGATAGAGTGAACCTGAAAACGTCCGGATAACTTGCTATGTATTTAACAGTGTTTATAGTATTTTGTGAGATGTTTTATAGCGTCATTACTCTCGTTATAGCCTACGTATTGTAATACACTATAAAAACGTTATGCAAATAGGTGGCCAAATCGTTAATATAAACACTATAACTCAATAATCGTTAAATAGCAGTTATTCTAGCGAATAAACTCTTAAATAAGCTAATCTATATTTACCTTCCATATCAAAAATATATGCCCGCATCTTCTAATAACAGAATATTGACCGGTTGGATTGATGAATTTGTTGGTGATATTGTTATAGAATGCTTTAAACTAATCTATATTCTCAAGTTCCAATAAAAATGGAATATCGGCATTCACAATATGAAAAACAACATATCCAAATGGTACATCGACACGAAATGAACCTATTAATGTTGCAATTCCTTTTCCAAAGTGTACATTTGCCGCTCCTGCTGTTTGTGGATTATACATCACTGGGCATACCTATTGCCATACATGATATTGTTTAATCCCAATTGTAGATTTACCTGCACAAACTATATCGATACATATACCAAAAAACTCCTTACTTGTATAACTTGCATAAAAGACATCTATTGTACTTTCTGCTAATAGAATAGCTTCAACAGGGTCTCTAATCAACGTATACAATATTGTATTGACTGATAATTGATTGAATATCTTTTGACTATTTATAGATTCTGAACTAACGAAAAATGCTTCTTCTTTAGTATTATCAATATCAAGATCTGCAAAGAACTATCCCATTTCGGTTTTTGAATCAAATTCTGCATCAATAACTTCTCCCTCATATTCGATCAACCATTAGTCGTAACACTTATTAAACACGTTATTACTACCATCCTTAATCTTTTCCCGGTATTCATATCGGTTTTTATCCTATTCCTCCTAGGAATGCTTTATTGATCGATATCCCTCTTTCTTGTATATCCAGCAACGATTTCGTTGATTCGAAGAATTAGATTGTTATCGAAACCTATTAGTATTGCCCTTGAAGCTGTTACTTCTGAAATTACCGTTTCTGAAATCTCTAGAACTATCTGAACTATTCCGATCATTATTACTACAGAATCTTTTATCAGTGAATAGCACTATATCTTCTTTTTTATACAATCTCTCCCACATATTAATAGATTGTTGCAATTGGTTGATTAAATCAAATACCTCCTTTTTGGAGTCGAAACAAGCTAGGTTGTATGCCTTAACATTTTCATATATCAGTATAAGCTTATTGTATAGATATAACGTTTGCTGTATAACGGGATCAAGTTGATACTATAGCATGTATAGCTACTTGATTATGATGGTAAGATATTTACTAAATAACTTGTTTTTATACTCCTTTTTAATTGATTTGAAAATGATATTGTTTTATTTAGATAGTATATTGTATTGGTATTTTTCTCCCTTAAAGTTACTTTGTATATAAATACAAAGCTCTCTGAATGTAGATGGTAGTACTTCGTAGTTGGCATAAAAGAACTTGAGTGCATTGTCCTTTAGTATGATTGGGAATGCCTTGTATTACATATCCATAGGTATCTCCGCATATCATAAGATTTCATAGAATATCGAGAGTTTGAAGTCGAAATTATTGTTGTCCCCACTATATTTTTTCTTATTAATATAGAATTTCAACAAACTAATAAGAGATTGTATATTAAAATGTATCGATAATTTCTTATCCCTATTGCGTTGACCTCTATTATCCTTCCTATTACCATCACCATCATTGTCATTATTAGGATCTCCTCCTTCATCACCATTTCCATTATTATTTCCATTATCATTTCCATTACCATTTCTATCACCTTCTCGATCATCATTGTATTTGAAGTCGTTTTCGATGAATTTATTAATCATCCCGGATTTAAATTTAGGCTCCTTAATATTGCGATCCTTCAAAACTTCCTGAACCTGGTCCTTCGTTCATACACCTATAGTAGATTTACGAGATTGATCGTATAAAGCTACATGTACTTCAATATCTGTTTTTGGTATTAATATTTCTCGAGTACATAATACTATATATAGCTTTCATACATCCATCTGATGAATCTTTACGAATTGTCCAGCCGTAAATATATTGAAGTCATTATAAAAGATCTCAGCGAGCTTGTTATCATTGATATCCTTATAGTTATATTGTTTGTGTTTGAATTTGATATATTTAATAAACTCTCTAGCATTAAATATAACATTCTTATCATTAATCTGTTATTCCTTTAATAGACTTAACTACTCCTCGCAATGCTCCTCTTCCTTCTCTGTATATAGGTTCTTGTCGACAACCTTAGGGGCGGTCGGGTTAACGGCATTGTCACTGTCCGATATAATAGTATATGAAAATAGGTATTTCGGAAGTTATAGGTATTTCGAAGATTGTAGATATAGGTATAAGTATTTTTGAAAGGGTGAAAGGGTGTTTATAAAGATATTTAAATAAAGGTTTGTGGGTTACCCTGTACAGCATACAGTACAAAGGCTAATACATAATGAATGCAAGCTCGATTTGTTACAATTGACAAGATCGACCTTTTGAATATATCTTCCTAATACAATTATTCGGAGTACACTCTTTAGCACAACAAAAGAGATAGCGTACTATACCAAGTACAATGATATCTTCTTTATAATCTCTTTAGAATTTCTACCAATCTTAAAAACCACCTTAAAACACCTAGTGCTTTATAATAGAATCCAAGGTTCTAATTTATAATATCACTAATTAGTATTAATATTAATTTGGTGTTGATTAAAGTGTAAAGTATTTCAGTCTTATCAATATGATTGATTGTATTATTCGTCTTGATCATTATTAACTATGGGAAGCTAGTATTTAATATAGTAGAAGTGCTAGCGCTAGTGCATACGCTAGTACATACGCTAGTGCAATACAGTGCCCTCTTAGATCACATGATCGATATCCCGACAATAATAGTGGTGGATAAATCAATAATAAAAGAAGGGGAGGGGGTTATATAATCGAAATAAGGCCAACAAATCAAGATTCCTATAAGATTTAAATAAGGAAGTTTTAAATTTTCTTTTTTAATCTATTATATCTTATTATACTCTTAGATAACTTATAGCTTTATATCTTATTGAATATATTTATTATTAAATATTGAAATTGTTATAAAGTGAGTTTAAAAATGTGCATGATACAGGGACGTGCACGATGTAGGGATATCGGTTAATGACTGCGGCTAAAATCGGTAGTCGATACTCCACTTGGAAAATCAAAAGCATTTGCAATCCAAACGAAAATACCTACCTACCCATTACTACATCGTAAATTTTCAGACATGCAATCTTCTGAACGAGTCGAATGTGCCAATTGAATCCGGGTAGCGACGCCTCTTGATCATTCGGAGTAGGACTGTTGGCCACTGGATGCGGAGGTAAGTTCAACGTGTTCTGTTCTCCACCTACCGTAATGCTATCCAGGTCCTCGTCGCTTTTGCAGATCAGTTCATGTACCTTTTTCGCGATGATCAATATCGGGCTTTGATCGTATTGTTCTGCAATGCATCTATTACGGAGCACATGTCTCCGCATACTCTTACGGTTTGCATTGCATACAATCAATTTATGCAAATTGTTTCAAGCTGAACAAATTGAATTAATTTCACTCATCAGACAGCAATGCATTATACCCCTCGTTCTACTGCAGAATGTGATGCGGCGGATGAGGGGACGTGGGGTTCAGATCGGTTATGAGATCCTCGTACGAGATAATATCGGAACAATGATAGAAACCACGAGTGACAAGCATCCAAAATAGTTGGGGAGAATAAACTTCAAAGCCGACACCAATTTGATCATAAACAGCTTCCTTCATTTGGTGTCGTAAAAAAACCTACCGAAAAATCAAGATCAAGATCAAAAGCATACTGCAGTAACTAACAAATCCACCATGCCTTCTTTCATTGAGGCCATTGAAAATGGTCTTCTACCTGGCGACCTAAGAGATAGGTTGAATCATGCCATCAAAATCTGGCCTGGAGATCCTCGATCAGCCATTGATTGGTTCCTCGAGGGAGGAAATGTACCGACGAACACCATTGCCACCATGACCTTCGTAAGATCGCTCTTGTTTTACTTCGACGACGAGGAGTACGTTTGTGGTCAACTTCTGACACTCTTGAGCTCCTATACTCTTGAAGGCCTGGTTTCATTGCTTTTCCCTCGCAATCTGTTGGATCAAAAAGTGACAGCAACGCCAGCCAACTTTCCATACAATTGGACAACCACCAATCTGACAATTACCAAATTGGAAGAAGTACGCGCTGAATTCCTCGACAATCACTCACTTATCGTGTTGCTTATTCTGTTGAGAGAGGGCAAGTTCTCCATCGAAGAGCGCCCTCGACAAATTGCCGATTGCATTCTGACCGCGATGATCGGTGATGAGCTTGAAATCGGATCGCCAGAGCTTTTAGCCTTTGTAAAGAAAGCCTTTCCAGACTTGAAAGACGCAGAATTTTCAGCCGCAATTGAATTCATCAAGACTTTGAAAACCTTCTCGAGTCTAGTTGAAGATCCTGAGGACGTAGTGCATCTCTATAACTCCAACTACCATTCTGTGCGAAGCATCACAGCCCAATCAAAGAGCAACTTTAAAAATACTTTGGTCACAGCTGGTACCAGTGTCGAGAGTTCACTCAAGATATATGACTTCGCAGAACGTGTCGATTGCTGGAACGAGCAACTCTGGCTACATTTGATGAATTCCCGTAGAGCAGATTCAGTCATGATTGACCCTTATTTTGAAGGGGAGATCACAAATGTACCAAGTGATGAAAGTTGGATGGGCAAATCCCATAACAATCTCACCGATATCTTCCGGCTCGAAGATACGAGTTGTGAGGAATGCTGTTCTATCACATCCCTGTCCGCGTATTTCGCCGATCTTCTGAGCCTGCTCAGTAACACGACGCCGACGGGCTCAAACCCAAAATATGATGACCCGCCAGGCACTCGGAATAGTCTGTTGAATATCCTGTCACAACGGCGTCCAGACCTTAGGAACCTTGAACTTACCTGTGCAAATTCGCAGACTTTGATTCCGTACATCAGTCTTGTGAATGAGGTGCTTGAATCTTTCATCCGCCATAAGTGTCTTGGTTCGCCAGATTCTATTCGAGTATTCAATACTCCTATTGATGCCCAAGACAATGAGCATTCTCCTACACCACTCAATTTGCCAGGGAACACAGACTACGAGGTCTATTCTAAGATCATCTCAAAGCAGAGATTCCCCTTTACCTGCTTTCCATACGACCAGGCGCGTAACATGGTACTCTCTTACTTCGACATTTTCCAAGTAGCCCATTTTGACTTCGTTGAGAAATTTCAAGCACCAGAGACTATGCTGCAAACAATAACAGCAACAACTACAGATGAAGTGAAGAGATCGCTGAACTCGGGAGCGAAAGAAGTCTTGGAGAGGCAAAGAGCTGCAGAAGCACTAGGCCTGCACCAGATGGAATTTGCAGCTATTACCGGAGAAAGTTTCTACCCACAATCCTTCAGTGACCTCGTCAAAGGTCTTTCAAGTAACAGCATTATTGATACGAGAATACAGGAGCATGAGTTCTGCCAGATGTGGGGTTATGAGGATGATGAAACCATGCTAAGCGCCGCAAAGGGCTTAAAACAGATCAAAAGTCAATTGATGCAGAGGTCCGGGCTGGAGTTTCAAGATGTCCTCGACCTTGTAAAGACCCAGCTTTTCGACCAACAGCTGGTTATTACCAATGAAGCTGGGTCTAACGAATTCACCGAGTCACTTGCAGAGCTTCGACTGCTATCAAATGCATCGAGTCCACCGTTCCAGCCTCTTACTTCAAGCATATGCCGAAACATTCAATCATTCTTACGTCTCAAGGCCAGGATTGGGTGGTCAACCAAAGTACTCGATGCTGCTATCCACTGCTTACGCAACAGGGAAATGGAGAATTCGCCATCTTTCAGATCGAACACTGTATCCCAAGTCGCTTCGATTTCCGTATACATTATTAAAGGAATTGCCTCCATTGTAAAGCTGAGTGACCTATGCGGATTAGAACCTGCTGCTCTTATTCCCCTATGGGGTCTCATCGATTCATTTGGCGACGAATCTCTCCTTCATCGCAAATTCCTCAGCCCTTCTCTAGGAGAAATATTCGCAGTTCCCAAAGACTGTGCATACTTCCAACCCAAAGGGAAAGCAATTAAAATTCAAGAGTGCGGTGCGAGCATTTGTGCAAGCCTCAACTGGCGTTTTGAGTACTTTAATGATCTACTCGAAGCCACAAATCTTGCAAATGATGACCTGAACATCGAGAACTTTTCTATCTTGTATCGATATGTGACCATATGTCGAATGCTTTCTGTCCCTCCTAAAGAATGTGTGCCATTCTTCAAGATCTTCTTTGACAAGGAAGATCCCTTGACAAATCCCAATAAGACGCTTGCTACTATTACGAATTGGACAACGTTACTGAACTCAGGCTGGACTATTGAAACACTTGTACTAGCTCTTGGGAAATCGACGAGTGGTGAAAGCAGTATTACTGGAGGAAATCCCGGACAAAAACTTGCGAGTGCGATACTAGATGGGACTAAAGACTTGAGAAAATCACTTTCATCACTTTTTAATGGAGCCATGCCCACTCATGAAACTATCGTCGAATGTGCGGGACGTGCCTTTGACTCGATTACGGCCAGTCTGGTCGTTGAATTTGTCGAGGGATCTCAGATTCGAACCAATACTGCAACGCTTGACACACAGCAAATGTTACAGAACCTTATGAATATATCCAAAACTGGCCAACTAAGATTTCTGTAATCCCTTCCTCAACAGCTATTTCGTGGTCTGTCCAACTCAAACTCACAGGCATATTGACGACGAAAGAAAAGCAAAAGATCATAGATGAATCTGCAGGACATCCTAACGTGAAGACCGCACTACAAAATCTCGTTGAGAACTCTCTCTTTCCTCAAGCTGTCATCAAGTCCCGTTTCCAGAGCAACATAAACGGGCTCAAAGATGATATCCTTTTGCAAGACTGGGCCCCATCCCAGCTCTCCGTCAATCCAATCCCCTCTGTGAATGACATTTTGATTGAGACAGAGTCACAAGTACAAGCACGACGAACTGCCTTTGTCAAAATGGCGAAACCTGTGATTGTTCAAGACACTCTCACAACATCTATCCTCAATACCATGAAAGATCTTGTGGAAGGTGTTGATATAACAGTTCTTTCAACTCTTCTCACAGAAACTGTGAAGGTATCAACAAACGATGACAGTGCACCCGAATCAGCTATGGCAGCTCTCAAACAGCTCAGCGAACCAGTTGAGATCATGACTGAGGCGGAGACGCTAGATGCATACTTCACACCCACGACAACAGATGATTTCAATCTGCACTATACTGGTGCGTTGAATAACCCTATCAGTTTAATGATAAATGGGATCGAGGTGCCGTTTGATACCGACTCGAAAACGTGGAACGCATTTCGCATGAATGCCAGACAGCCATATCTTCTACAGAGTAGCATTCGTCCAACCCAAATCTCATGGTCAACATGCAGATCAATGACGACACCCTTCACTGATGAAGAGCTCCAGTCATCAACATCTATCCAGCGGGCAGCATCGATTTTGGAGGCTATCCAAAGAGCAGTGTGCATTTGCCAAACTGTGAAACTCACGACATCAGAGCTCGAATATATCAACAGAACGGGAAAAACAGAAGATGAGATGCTGTCAATGAATCTTAATACACCATCTCTAATAAACTTGGTGCAGCTCCAAGAGTACCGCGAGCTGAGGGATAATATAATGATCGCGGATAGTGGCCTAATCAGCCTTTTCTCGTGGCTATACAACCCTAAAAATCCAGATATGAAGACAATTGCAACCAAAATTGCAGCAAGCACTGGTTGGAAAGACACGTTGGTAGAAAGCGTCCTCAATGCAAAATACCCAAGCCATACTCCTGCGGATCTTGTAGCAGTTTTGCGCAATCACGATGCCTTTATCAACCTTAGAGCCATCCTTGCTCTCTACGAGGGTTTGGGTAGCGCATCTGATGTTACCTCCAAGCCTCTTATGACAGAATTGTTTTACCTTGCAAAACCTCTATCACAGCTCAACAGTGGAGATACATATATGGAAGCCGCCAAGAATTTGCAAAAAAGATTGACACCTTCACAACGAGAAGCATCAGATGAAGGGTTAATGGAGAGCCAGCGCAAGACACTCGTAGCTTATCTTCTGCAACAAAAGTTCATCACCCAAGACCTTGGCATATGGGATGCAGATGGGCTATTTGAGTATTTCTTAGTCGATGTACAGATGGGGCCACAAATTCGAACTTCGCGCATAAAGACAGCCATCTCGGTCGTGCAAATGTTTGTTCAACGATGTCTTCTCGGAATGGAAGAAGGAGTTTCGAAGTCAGTTCTGGGGCATGAAAAATGGGACTGGCTACAACAGTACACTCTCTGGGAGGTGCATAGGAAGATATTTTTGTATCCTGAGAACTGGATTGATCCATCACTCCGAGATGACAAATCTGAGCTTTTCGACCAGTTTGAGGCCACCTTAATGCAGAAAGACTTAAGCATCAAGACGTTTCTTCAAGCTATTCAGAGTTATTTGTATGATCTAGATGGAATTTCGAGTCTCGATATAGTCGCGTATGTTCATGAACCGCAACCAGCAGCATCGGACACTTTTCACTTGTTCGGCCGGACTCGCAGTGGGCCGTATACCTTCTACTACCGTACCCTGACGAGATTGAGGACTGCTGAGGTATTTTGGCAACCATGGTCCAAGGTCGAGGTCGACATTGCGTCAATTGAGACGGAATGGGAGGGCCAAAGACTCGTGGATACAGGTAGTTATCTGCTTCCAATAATGATCAAGGGTAGGCTGTACTTGTTCATGCCATCAATTGTGCCCAAGACGTTAGTGAAGAACATCTCAAGCATGTCCAATGTAAAAACTTTGACGCTCTGCGCGATCAAAATCCAAACATAGCAGAGCCTGTGCGCATCTGGGAAATAACAATGGCGTGGACAGAGTTCGTCAACGACACTTGGGCACCCAAGAGAGTTTCCTCTGGTAGTCTCAGTGTGGGCCTAGAGGCATCCTCATCCCAAATCCGGGTCGATCCCACATTACAAGACAATACTTTGACACTTAAGGTCAGCTATGGTGAGGCTGAAAAAACCACTTCCAAGGCCATTGGTTCATTCATATTCTGCAATGACCAAATAAGCACATCAAACACCGTAGCAACCTCTACTCAGGCGGGTTCGTTTGCAACATACTTTCAAAAAGCATTGAAACAAGGAATGGATCTCGAATCACTCCCCGGAGGTTCCAAATATACTAATTCCGCACCTCTGATTTGGGTGCCACCTGAGCTGGAGAGTACCAATGGGGCTTCAGATGTCTCCTGGACTTTGTCAAAGTTACCACAGAGGGTGACAGGACTAGTTGTCAGCGCAAAAGTTAGTGAGGGCAGAAGAGCAAGTTTCTTCAATATACCAAAAATGGAGCTTCTCAGTTCGACATGGACCAAAGACGTCATCAAGAACAATACGGAACTTGTTTCTATTGACCACATATTTTCGCACGAACTCATGGAAGCAACCTCTGACCGAATTGATCCGCTACGTTGTTTGTATAACAAAATAGCACAGCTACCTGCTGGTGCGATGAGAGAAAGTTTTGGAGCTGGTAGTCATGAGGCATGGTAATATCCCCTAGCTCACTTCACTTCTAATATTAGTATTCCAATATGGGACTGACCGTGGAATAACACAGGTATCATGAGCTAGGACGTCCCACCGCTATCTACAAGTAAGTCTGCATTTTCTTCAAGAAAAAATAAATAAAATAAAAGGGGAAACAGAACGAGGTTATAGTAGCCCGTTCGCAGGTTTTCTAGAGAATCAGTTTTCTTTTTCTTTTTGATGACAAATTGTTTTTGATAATTCATACTTTTCTGGCACGGAAATTGATTGAGAGAAATTGTCTTTCAAAAGGCCCCGATTGTTGTAGAGAGATGCAATGGTTTCAAAAGATTCAATCCACTTGTATATTTTGTTTGGAATGACAGCTAACCACGTTAAAGTTGGGAGGTTGGCCTACACACAGTATTGTTGGCAGTCGATCGATTTTCTGCCACCCAGCAATACGAAGAAGCATTGGAGGTTGCGAGACTGGTCTTTGATCCATCTGCCGATCTTGAATTAAACACGGATGACAAATTGACCTATCGATCATGCTGGCGATTTCCTCCGTTCCAAGAAATGGCCCGACAAATTGCCATCCGGGGTGAGACTTCGTTCGATCCTTTGAACCTTGACCGTTTAAGCAAAGAAATTCAACTTGCCATTAAGGAGCGTCGTTCGTATGGTTCACTTGTGCATGCCGCAGCTAGGGGAAGACCAATTAGTTATATGAAGTGGATAGTGATGAAGTACGCAGAGATCCTCATCGCATTGGGCGATGTTTATTTTCGCCGGGCTTCGCTTGAGAGCCTACCGATAGCTACGCAGCGATACATCGAGGCTGCGCGAGTTTTAGGAAAGGAGCCGCCTAAAGTACCGGATTTGGGGAAAAGAAAAAGAAAGGCAATGACTTTTGAGCAACTGAGAGAAGAGGATATTATGTATGACTCTGTTGTATTCGATCTGGGCTTGCCTTTCTCGGCCAAATTGAAGAAAGGTGCGGCCGAAACAGCAGACAGAGATCCAAAAAAAGAGAACATCGCTTGTTTCCTTCGAACGAACTATTTCTGCGCCCCTCTAAATCCTAAGTTCAAGCAAATGCGAAGCCTTGTTCATGAACGCCTTTACAATCTCCGAAATTCTTTCGACATTCAAGGGAAGCCAGTAGTCTACGGCCTTCGTGAACCGCCCATTGATCCAGGAGCCTTGATAAGTCTTAGCAAAGGAGGTATGGGAGTGTCCGATATCCTCAGCATGGTTTCTGGTGAACGAAACAGCCCACTACCACGGCAGCGTTTCGACGCTCTTCTGAAGCAGGCCTTAGCATTGTGTGCCGAGGTGCGCAAACTTTCAGGACGCCTTGTAACCGTAGTTGAGAAGAAAGAGATGGAAACTTTCAACATCGGTAATGCTCAGCATGCTTCAGTCATACAGAAAATGATGCTGGATATCAAGAATGTCGAGCTTGAAGAGGCACAACAAACTGTCGAATCGCTCTTGATCAATCGTAGCTCGCTGGAGGCGCAATTGAATTACTACCTCCAGCTCATCGGCGAGCCAGATTCCATGATCCCAAAACCCAAAGATGATTGGGTCGATATTCAGCAAAGCATCGACACCCCCACACAAGACGAACTTCGAATGTCTTCATATGAGAAAGCAGAAAGTACGTTGATTAAAATTTTCAAAAAATTTATAATGTTGTGCTCGAAATCTCAAGTCTTGCTGTACCCCTTTCCTTAAGCATATCCCTTTCCATCTCTCAACATAACATTTGTTCCCAATGATCCCCAAGAAGATTCTTGAGCAGGCAATACTGACTTCATGATTTTCAATAGTGACACAATCCCTCTCTGCTGGTGCCAAGAATCGCGCGGCCATAGCCACCGATGCACTCTCGATCCCCCTTTATCTCGTTCCACAAGCAACAACCGACTTTGAACCTCTTGGTGTCGGTGGATCTATTTCCTTCGCTGGAAGCGCCATTGCTGATTCAGTAGCTGCTGGGTCCACATTAGCGAGAGGAATTGCAGCTGTTCTAATGGACGAAGCCGGTCGAGCAGACAAGAAAGCTAGCCTAACGATGCAGTTACGGGAGCGAAGACTCGCAGCAAATATGAGTGGCCGTGAAATCAAGTCGATCGACAAGCAGGTCGAAATCCAGAAAATCCATATCACTTCAATCCAGAAGGACATTGAGATGCAACAATCAGAAATAGAAGATGCAGCTGGGGCCGAGGAGTGGTACCGTACCAAGTATAGCAGCGAACAATTGTATACATGGATGGAGAAAATATTCAGAAATCTTTATTTCCAGGCTTATGAACTCTCAATGACCATGGCACTTCGAGCGGAGAGCTCGTTCAACTTCGAAGCCGGCAGCAAAAGTTCGATAATCAACAAAGGGGGGTATTGGAATCCTTCTCAAGATGGTCTTCTTGCTGCCGAAAGTCTTTATCTAGACCTGAGGAGACTTGAAAGCGCGCAATTAGAATGCACAGCTGCTGATTATAACATCAGTAAGACTGTGTCTCTAAAAGACTTTGACCCCATGGCGTTGATGAAACTCAGAATCACGGGAACAACGGACTTCTCCATTGGCGAACTCCTTTATGATATGGATTTCCCTGGTCATTACATGCGAAGAATTCGATCTATTAGCGTCTCGGTACCATCAGACAAGGAGATTGGAGCTAATACGAATGCCATCTTGACGTTGCTAGAGCACAAGTATCGCGTTACACAAAACGCAGCTGACTATGCTGCTTCCCAATCTGCTACTGGAAGTGAATCATTTAGAACTGACCGAATTCCGATAACAGCAATAGCGGTAAGCTCTGGTGCTAAAGACCCCGGAGTGTTTGAGCTTGACTTCTCTGGTCCCCGGTATATGCCATTCGAGGGCGCTGGTGCCATTTCAGCATGGCGTCTGGAATTTCCGGCACCAATCCGTCATTTCAATTATGAGTCGATTACTGATGTGCAACTACACATACAGTACACTGCTTACGAGGGAGGTCCAACACTGAGAAAGGCGGCAAAAGACGCAGTTGTCCAAGCAGCTCAATCAATTGAAGCTCAAGGACAACATCAAGGATACTGGGCACTTTGGGACCTCAAGACAGACTTTGCTGCAAAATGGGCAGATTTTGAAAACACTCTCCTTACTCCCAACGTGGAAGCTACCCTGGACCTTGGCAATTTGAAAGACCGTCTGCCTTTCTGGTCACGACACCAAAAAGAACTCCAAGTTCAATCCTTTACATTGATGTCGCGAAATAAGAATGTTAGGGACAGATTGAGTATATTGGTGGACCCAAATTCACCTGCATACAATGGAACCGATGGCATCTACTCTGGTGATCTCTATACCAGACAATGCGAAATGACTGAAAAGAACTTGAAGTGGAAACTCAAGGCGAAAGCAGTTCCCCTTGCATCCGTCGCGAGCGAAAATATTTATCTGTTTGTTCGTTATATTTATGTTGGGAAAAATATTTCGTAATCGGAAAAGTTTACGTTCGCTTCATGTAGGCCTTTTTCGGTATAAGCGATTGAAAGAATTGCGGTGGCTTTTGATGGAAATAAATTGAGATGTTGTGTTTTGTATTTTTCTTTTCCTTTTGACAGTTCTTGAAGTGCAAGGTGATCGGCACTTACCATCATCACATGACACCACTAGCTAGCTATTTTGATGTTAAATTTAACATTCAACAAAAGCTCGTCCACTTGACATGTCTCATAATTGTGTCTATTCTGATGGCGCTTGTCAAAATATAGAGAGTGTATAATGCAAACAGAGTCTGACACTTAGAAAGAGAATATGGTATCTCGAAGTAACAGAGGGGCGCTCTCCACTCCTCCTCTCTTCCCCTTCATTCCATACTCCTTTGGATTATGCGATCTCGATTACCCATACGACGAAGCTTTGGCTTTAGCCAATCAAAAATGTTCCAATCAATACTCGTATTTGCTAAAGTATTTGAGGATGGTGCATTCCATATGGTTTTGAACCCAGTCAACTTTCTCATGTTGTAGACCACGCCGTGAGACTCTGTGAATATTAATTATAGACCGTTGTACCAACACAGCGAGCGTGTCAGGCAAACCCCATCGAAATTGAATTGTCTTATTCTCTTCTAGAGATATTTCCACTACCAACTCTCATGCTACCTCTTCAACCTCTTAAGTGGGTGCGCCTCCGTATTCAACACCCAATCGTCGAGGCTCACCACATCCCACTCACTGAAAACCAAGTAGAAATACTTCAACGTCTCCGCTAACCAGAAGCTCTCCATACTATCTGCCTGTTCCACTCCTTCCTCTTCACTTATTCCACCCAAATTATCCGCGAAACGCTCTTTTTTCTTATCTCCATTCTTACCCTTCACTTTCCCATTCCCATCCACCAACGCCTTGACCGTAACATCCAGTATCGCCGCCGACGCAATCTCCGTCCTGCAAATCTTTTCAATCGCCTGGAACATTCTCCAAGCGGCATCCATATATTTCCTATCCCCCGTGATTCTCCACAGAATCCACACACTCTCAATAGCCTCCGGTCTCAAAATATATCTTCGATCATCCACTGCCGTAAGCCCCGGACTCAATCTTCTGTCCTCTATAATCCCATTCAATTTTTTCTCCGTCTCCTCTTTCGTATTCGTGATTGGATGCGTGTATATAGCTGCGAGAGCATCATACCATTTCTGTTTCGAATACTTACAATCGTGATTTTTAGGGCACGGAACCACGCTAAAGATTTCGGGCGCGATGCTATTTGGACTATTGTCATATGCCCATATACATCCATTTGTGAGTTCTTCAGCTAAGGCGAGGTCGGAGGGGCGGTTGAAAATTTTCGAGGCGATTCCAATCATGCCGCCAGTGAAACAGGTGAGATGTTGACCACGAGGAATAAGCTCCGGGGTACTGCTTTCAGCCATGCCTTTAATGCGTATATCTCCTGATACTCTGATTTTCTGATTCTTTTCGTTTAGGATTGAAAAGAACATCTTCTCCTGGGCTACAGAAATGAAGCTTTCGTACATTTTCTTGGGTTGGTCGAGGACGCCACCGAGAATCATGTATTGTTTTGGCAAATATTCATAAGTGGAATCCGACATACCACCCATAGTAAACATAGTATCTTCGTCAAATCGAAGCTTTTCAAGATCAATACTGACAGGCCATAATCCGGGATATCGAGTAGAGTTCTGACTTTTCTCGAATTCATCAGAAATACGTTGCACCGCATCATAGTATTTGGGATTTCCGGTCAACTGACTAAGTCTAGTGAACTCGAGACTTAAGGAACCTGGCTCAGAGACAAGAACTCTCTTAGGTGCTACTTGATCCTCTCCTTCTAGATACCTACGCATTGTCAATAGCGTTCTTGTCAGAGGAGAGCAATAGGACCTACTTCTTCCAATCCCATCTAGGAATTGGCATTCTATTCGGGGTATCAAAACAACTCATCAACAACTCCGCAACCTCCACAGCCTTCAATAACAAAACCGGATATTGCGCTCCACTAATATCATACGCCGCCAAGAACCCGCCCATATATCTAATCGTCGTTTCAAAAACATTGATATCCTTTTGCTCCGTTGTCGTAAAATCGATTCGCTCGATCGATCGCACCGCGATTTCAAAATCTTCTTTTAACCCCATAATCCACAAAGCATCCAATGAATCAACCAATGTTGCGGCCCAGCCACCAAAGGTATCTTTCCAGGACCCTGAAAGAGGAGAGACCTCATCTCGTAACCATGCGTGCGTTTTATACCCCTCCCAACTATGTGTGAAACTCTCTTTAACAGCCGCCAATCGCTTCAGTCTCTCTTCCTTCTGCGCCGCGTCTTCTTTAGGAGGGGCACTTTGAACCTGCGGGATATTCTTCGGTTTTCCAGTCGGCAAAGGAATGTATGAAGTTACTGGATATCGTTCTGGTAATTTCGACCAATGGGTTTTTCCATCTGGCAGATGAGGTTTCGCAATCAAAGATAGATAAGTCGCGTCATAGCTCCAAGTATTGCGCCGTGAATGAAGGTAATGAAGACTAAAAATCATGAGCACTGCAGCTATGAAAGCTGCTCTCCATCTTCTAATGATTGACGGCATATCTGCAGCAGCGTTTACTGCGCGAACAATGGAGAAAGTAAAATAGAGGAAGAAAAGTTTGGAAGTATTATGTGTCACATCCCTTGAATGTTTGACCTGATTTCAATGATCGATTGCTTTGACAGCAGCTTTGTCCTTCATCCGATGTGTTTCGTTGAAACTCCCAAGTTGATAGAACAGCACTCCGTAGACTCCAAGAAAAGAACAATCACGAAGCGAAATTTGTAGAACGATAGAAGATGGAAAAAGAAATGAAACTTACCATGCGAGAGAGGGCGAGCTGGACATCCAATTGATCTACATGCTGCCGAGGAATGTATCAATTAGTTTCGTCCCTTCTGCATCATAGCTAAAGAGTCGATGACTCGCCAAGAGAAAATAATTGAACCCTGCGGTAAGGGATCAAAGCCAGAAATTAGCATCTCCGTACCCACCAGGACCGACCGACTGGGTTTCTCCCCACTCCCCAATTTGGTGTTTCACTACATGTTCTACGTAGTATAGAAAGTTTAAAAGAAGCATACAAGAGAGAATCGGCATCCTCAAAAGGGGTGATCGCTTATGGTTACCAACATCTCAATCTGTTGGACCAGAGTTACGATTCGATTTCGGTACCGTGTGAATGGTAACCTTTTAAGTTACATATTTCTGATACCCTTCTCTCCCTTTTCCCATTCCCCTTCAACTAAAAGCTAGACGGCTGTACCCACTTTCAATTGTGATATCATCAAGTTGATTACAAAGTACCACTAATGATGATCCACAGGTTTCCCCTGAAAATCTATCTTGCCATGTAGTTGTCAAAGGCTATACACAATTTTCAGGGAAAGAGTTACTCAGTCTACCACTTCTCTCTTGATGTTATATTTGCTCGATTGGAATCTCCAGGCTATGAGACTGAAATTGCCTGATGGGCTCGATTTCAATGTTAGCCTATGAGGATATTCATCGCGATTCACAGTTCACATGACAAATAATGCATCATGAAGACTCTGGTAAAGGGTATTAACAAGACAATAAGATGTCTGATGGGTTATCATTGATCATGAAGGTCACTAAAAACGGCAACGCTCTACGTGAATGTCAACCAGTCCAGTCCTACGCCCACAAGAATTCTGGATGTCCAAAAGACCCGTGATGTATACGCCGACTATTCTCCCTCCCAGCAACAAAAGACCACGCAAAAAAGGCAAGCTCGATTACTTTTGCATCATAAGTTGTACAAATTCGTTGTCTGTGAATGATCATTAGAATATGAACTTCGAGAGAAATGGTTGATGAAGGGGCACATACAGTCGATTCTTCCATCACCATCTTGATCAGCCTCTCTAATCATCTCATCAACCTCATCATCAGTCAACTTCTCTCCGATGGAGGTCATGACATGGCGAAGTTCAGCAGCGGAGATGAAACCGTTGTTGTCACGATCGAAGACCTATATCAACGACATATCAGCCTCTGCCACAGTAAATGACTTGTGAATTTCCAACCTTGAATGCTTCACGGATCTCCTCCTCAGAGTCGGTATCCTTCATCTTTCTTGCCATCATAGTAAGAAATTCTAATCGCGTCAGCATTCTGAGTCATGGACTTCATTTTGTTGCGCCATACCTGGGAAATCAATGGTACCGTTGTTGTCAGCATCGACCTCGTTGATCATGTCTTGCAACTCGGACTCGGAAGGATTTTGACCAAGGGATCGCATAACGGTCCCCAACTCCTTGCTAGTGATTTGTCCTGTAAATCCGTATATCAGTGCTGTCCTTCTGTATTGTTCTGCCAGTTTATGTGGTTGTCTCTCGTTGTTGTTACAGTTGTTTGAGATAGGGGCTGCTTTAGTCGAGAGGGCAAGTATGTGACCACGGGGAATTTTCGAGATCTGCAATGTCAAAGGAATGATATGGAATTACGAACCATCACCATTCTTGTCCTATTAAGTCACAGCTTATTAGCATTCAAATCTTCAATTATGCCCTGCCAAGTGTCCATAGGGCTGAGAGTATCGAGGTGGGAATATGAACATACAAAGAGGGAGAAGGCCTCCTTGAACTCGGAGACTTGCTCTTCAGTAAGAGAATCGGCCTGTATAAATGCGCATGTTAGTTGCGATCTTTTTATCCTCCAGCATCACTTCCTTTCCCTCCAACATGAAGCTGTAGCTTCAAGTTGAGTGCTGAAAACCGCGGGGTTGTTTAAGGTCCAGCCTTCTTGGAATATGGAAACAAACCATTGTTGAGTATTTGGTTGAAAGTAAGTATGATAACTTTTTTGGTTTGAAGTATTTCTAAGGTATATGAAGAATTGGAAGAACGGTTGTAAGGTTGAAATAAGGAGGATCTTGTTGTGTTGTGGGTTGTGATTGCGATTCAACTGTTCAGATGCTTGGATGCGGTGAAGCATAGATGCCATAATGGTCAAAAGTGGTTGTTGTACGGTAGCCGAATGACATAAAAGGTCTGGGGGTCTGGGATTCCTCAGGCGAAGAGGTCGAAGCTGGGGAGAGCTTGGAATCATCAAAACAAGACAAACATGCGACATTCAATAACAAACTTCAATACAAATTGCAATTCTTTGAGTTTCTATGCGAAATTCTTCTTTTATTATATTCTGTGAAACTGTAAGATTCATTTTTAATCGCCATGTGGCGTGATCGTACAAATCTGTATGTTCGAATTGCTGTTATCCCTTCCACAAGCTTAGATAGATACTGACACCTAATCTATCAGCTATATCTCCTATCGACAGTCATATGCACATCACCCCGCAAAGAAACCAAAATATTCAAGCTCCTCTGGCAATGGATACTCAGATAGTATTGGAGGGGCTTCGGAGGAACGCAGAGGACTTATGTCCGCTGGCGCATTCGAAGATGACGGCGATGCGATAATAGAAATGGATTTACTACCACCGAGATGGGCAGATATCAGCGACGAAGTTACAGAATATCTTACGGATATCGCAAACAAGAGTCAAAAATTGGAGAAACTACATCAAAAACATGTATTGCCAGGATTCGATGATGAAGAAGTCAAGAAGAAGGAAGAAAGGGAGATTGAATTATTGACACAACAAATTACCAAGGGATTTCACGATTGTCAGAGGTCAATTCAGAGAGTAGAGCAAATTGTTCGTGACTCACGGCATCAAGGAGGCATAAGTAAAGGAGAGGAAACTATGGCAAGAAATATTCAGATTTCACTAGCATCGAGGGTACAAGAAGCAAGTGCGGGATTCAGAAAAAAGCAAAGTACTTATTTGAAGAGTGAGTTCACACTTCATTGATTGAAGTCGCCATGGTAAGAAGTTAAGGATTTAAACTGACCAATCATCAGAGTTACGAGGCTTAGGAGGTATGAATGCACCTATTGAACGAACGTCTACCCCTCTTTACAGTAACTATATCGACCCCTCCATCATGGAATCCGACGCCGATAAATCATTCTCCCAAGCAACCCTCCAACAAACCTCTCAAAAACAACTCACCTCCAACGATGCAGCCATAATGCAACGAGAACGTGAAATCAATGATATCGCACAAGGTATCATCGAACTCGCCGACATTTTCAAGGAACTTCAAACTATGATTATAGATCAAGGAACTATGTTGGATCGCATAGACTACAACGTGGAAAGAATGGCGGTAGATGTCAAGGCTGCGAATGTGGAATTAAAAGCTGCAAGCGGATACCAAAGAAAAGGGACGAAGAGGCGAATTATTTTGTTATTGATCCTATTAGTTGTAGGTATGTTTATTTTGCTCTTGGTAAAACCAAAGAAGCATAGAGGCGAGGTAGAGGAAAGTGTACCACCACCATCGCCACCTTAATAATGATACCCTTTTTCGAGATGGATTACACGTATTTTGGTGGAGTGAGATTGTGAAATACCCGTAATGCTTCACGAGGCGTGCCCCCGTTCCACGTGCGCAAACTATCAATCACTCTGTTGGGGTTGAAATGTGAGTGATGGGTGTTCAACATGCTCGAAAACTGTTCGTCGCTAGACCATACTCATCCCTTTCTCCATTTCCAAAATCATGGTACTTATTACCAGGCCAGCCCCGCTATTGTCAACTAGGGGATAGGTAAACTCAACTTCTTCTCATTATTAGATTACAACATCAACTCGTCCAAAGTCCAACTTTCATCCAAAAATATACATTTCCTACCTTCTATCTCATCCAAATAGCATCGAATGATATCATACAGCAAATAATACGAAATACTTATTTCATCCTACCCCACATCGCTTATACCAGGGGCTTTCCCCTTTTCTACTTCCCCGCTCCGCTCTCCACTTTACTACTCTTCTCCTCTCTTTGATCCCCCATCTATATTTGAAGCAATCGCTTATAGTTGTGAATATTTTCTTTATTGTTGTGTGTGAGGGGGCATTGAGAGGTAGTGCTAAGAGTTTCATCGAAGGGTGAGAGTGAGGAGAGAGGGGCTGTTGTTTACTTGAAGGGGAATAAAAATGGGGGGAACTTTGAAGTGTAGGAAAGTATAGGATTCGACGAGGAAAAGCGGAGTTACTTATGAGGCAGAGAGAAAACACTCTCAACTCTTTGAAAATGCATAGCATCGGACTTTCTAGCTACTCAAACCGCAAAGTCATTCAATTATCAAGTACATATTAATCGTATAAATTCATCCTCGCTTAACGTTGTAATGAATATACACCAAACAAAAGACTAAGAATACTTCAGACTCACTATGTGCTCATCGATTCAAATAGGGTTGGATTCATGATGAATATAATTTTTGACCTACAAGTGAACAATTCGATTGATATCAACAAACCCAGCGCGAAAAAACCTCACTCATCTCCACAGCTTGCTAAGCGCGGCCCCTTAATCCAACTCATCAAAATCCTAAGATCAAACCACAATGCCCGCTGCGGCGGCAAAATTAACAAGCGGATAATGCGCCAAATTATCACTATTGAGACATTTTTACGTTTTTTCAGAAGTATGTCACTTCTAAACCCCATCTTGATGTAAAATTTATCCGGTAAAAAGCATCGCTACTTTAGAATCGGCCACGAAATAAATCGCAGACCGGTTGAGCTAGCAGAGGATCTTGACGCGAGGAATTGTTTCATGTGGAAGGTTGTAAAATAGTGCGACCGAATTGGACCCAGAGACCATTCCGAACCATGGATCGCGTTATAATCCAAAAGAAGAAAGTATCTTATTTTAGCAAACACAGTCGAGACGAAACTTTCTTTTGTGAGATGAGTTGGAATTTTGTTTTTTGCCAAGGTATTTTTGTTCCTGTGACCACTTCAAACATTTGCTAGCGTGAAGTCTAAGTATCGTGGATTGTTGTCATAGTGAGTAATTTAGGATGTGTTTGTTTACTTTTGAGTTTTGGTCTTCTTATATGTTTATGTCTTCTCTTGCTGCATCTGGTATTGAATATGATGAGTATGTTGAGAAGATTTTCTAGGGCAGTAGGAATTCATCTTAAGACTATTGTTCAGAGAGCAGATCAAATTACACGAAAGATACACAAAGACTGGAACGATGGGTGAGGATAAGAGGCATCAGTTGAGTCGGGGCGTAGAGAAGAGAGATGAAGGTGGTGAGGAAAACAGAGATTGGAGAAGACGAGATAGACATGGAGATGGGAGGGGATACAGAGATGAGGGAAGCTATAAAGAGGAGAGAAAGGCAGATTCACGGACGGGATCGATCGATTCGGAACCACGAAGAGAAACTAAAAAGACATCCCAATCTGTTGAGGTTGGACGTGATAGGCCATATCTTAGCGTTGACAGCAGTCGCGATCGAGGTCAAGGTGATAGTGGCAGCAAATCATCTGCCCCCGTTCCCAACCGCGACAGCAGAGATTCCATCAGAAGGGTTGAAAGACCATCTACCACCACTGTCGACAATTCATCACTACCAATCAAAAGAAGAGATCACAGTAGCAACCGAGGCACGAGTGAAAGTGAGAGAAAATCTTACATCCATCCACCCCATCTCAGTCGCGATAGAGCTCCCAGTGAAAAACGTGGGAGAGATTCCCACACCTACGTATCAAAAGAAGCACCTACCCAGAGTAAAAGCGAGAACGTAACGGTGCCTCTTCCCAGCCGCAGCAATCGATCGCAAGATCCAAGACCAGGCAGAAGAGACCCTTCCATCAGTCGCGAAACAGAAAAACTTAAACTTGGTGATTCGAGGGGATCAAAAGCTGCGGCTACAGATGATCGTGAAAAGCGAAGCAGTGATGCACCGGCTTCTAAGGTACCCATAAGTTTTCCGCGTAACAAGGTGAGAGTTGGTATACTTCCGAAATATTATCTACCTCGGAAAGAAGAAAACTCTCGACGATTAATCGTTTTTGGGGATGTACATGGAATGCCTGATGCCAAGAAACGTCTCTTGGAACATATTAAATATGAGCCAGCGTTGGATCATCAGATTTTCGGCGGTGATATGATAACCAAAGGGAGAAAAAGCAAACCAAGCAAGAATGCTACGACTAAAGGGTTGGTAACCATCGAGGCTTCCAAAGATGTCGTACGTCAGGCTATAAGAGATGGAGCTTTGGGAGTCCGGGGTAATCATGAAGACTGCGTACTGAATGTTAAACACGAAAGAAATGGTTGGCAAGAATCCATCGACCGCGAAATGGACAATCAATTTAATATTCAATCGAGGAAAAAGTTGAGGACGCCAGATCACAGGGATACCAGCGACTATGACCTGTATGATGCACTTACCCGAGAAGAGAGACAGTGGCTTGAAGATCTACCTGACATCCTAGTTTTGGGAAAATGTGGTGGGCATAATAACATGGTTGTTGTACACGCTGGATTGAATCCATTTTTTGACCTGGAGCATCAACGAGTTATAGAGACAATGAACATAAAATCTATAGACCCAGTCAAAGGATATACTAGTTCGATGCATGTGGGAGATAAAGAGAGAAAAGCATTGGATAAGAAAGACCAGGGATGTTTTAGCAAGATGATGCCCTGGTTTGAGGTATGTCGACTAAGAATCCCATTTGTAACCTACAGTACTAATCCTGATAAACATAGGCTTGGGAGGACGAACAAGAGAAATTGCCACTAAATAAACAGACAACAGTGATGTATGGTCATGAGTCTAAGAAGGGCTTGACGAAAAAGTCATTCTCCATTGGTCTTGATACTGGTGCACAACGTATAGACAAACTCGACCCTGGTAAGTATCGAACTTTGACTGCCCTCGTTATTTACCATGATAGATGCAAAATTTTCCAAGTCAAGGAAATCAAGAAAGACACTGGGGAATGGGAATGGGAGCCAGTTGAGCTGACAAAGGAGGAATCTGATTTTTGAGATGAAGTTGGATTTCCCTTATTTACATATGTCTGTATTATTTCTGTACTTGCAGGACTCCAGTTTCAAAATCGAGAAGTTTCGTGGAACATCAAGACTAAAGCTTTGTGTGAGACAATGTCATACTTGGGGGCCAAAATATTAATACATCGATTTATATTACACAAACTGTGCCACAACTATGCATAGACGAATATAAATATGCATAACAAACCCGTGGACAGCCAATATTACCAGGTTTACCTTCAAATGTTGTACCATCAAATTTCTGCGAAGCAAACTTTTGGTCGGCAATAGATTTTTTTCTCAAATTCTCACTCGAGACTTGCAGTATCAAGCATGCAAAACATACCTGCATCGCATGAGATTTTGATCACGTTATGCGGTCAACTCTGTACACCAAAATTTATGTTAAAAAGAACGGCCCGCTAGCAAATGTTAACTGACCGCTGCAGAACACGGAATCCGGTGCATCTCAGACGATTGAAGCCTAACGAAACATGATTTTGGGTACCGTAGATGGGTCATCGAAATTCAGTTCAAATTTATTAGTGTTTGCTAGGTTTACTCGTCAATCCATCTCTCGTGGTCAGGAAAGTATCGATAATGTATTCTTTCAACATAATCCATGAAGGAAGGAAGAGATCGCACAAGTTCTCTAGAGACCGGGACACTATTTGATGGATCAGTTAACAATACACTATTTGGACCATGGACAAAAAGCCTACCTGGTGCTTACGAGTATTGATATAATGAAACCAAAGAGACTTGCATCGGCTTGGGTTGGTTGGTCCCCACCAAGACACCAAAATGGATCCTTTTTGGCGGGAGCGGCATCTGATATGGGTTTTCTTGAATGTTCTAGAAGTCCATTGAGACTTCGCCATGTCTCCTCTCGGAATACTATTACCTCCCGAGGTCCTCAGAAGTAAACCGTCTAGTTCCCTGGCCATACAGTGTAGCTTTAATCTGACGATAAGCGAGAAATCCAATTAGAACACGCATAGGATACGGGATGGATCCTAGGACCTTATCTCTTTGAACATAATAATTACCCATCCACCGCTCTCGAATCTAGAGCCCAAGACCAGTTAGAATATGCCGCTATCTGACGAGGTAATATAATTCACTGTCGTACTCACTCCATAAAAATATAGCTTATCCTCAAGAAGAGCACGAATTGTCATGTTTTGAGTTTTTGCTGCCGGCTCCAATGATGAATTGAGATCAGGTGGAATATCTGATTCTACTAGCCCTGCTATAATGAGTGCGGAATCGGCAAGCACAAAAGGAGACGACCCCTCATTGTGTACTGAGATATATGGTATCTTCCCTTTCGATGCCGAGCGAGGTGAGCCGCTATCCAAAATGTACTTCACGTTGGCTTGGCGGAAGCGGAATTCAATTTTGGTAACAAATGGAGCCCATACGTAATTTCCTGGATCTAGCCAGCCACGGAAGAGAGTGATTTTCATGATGGATAAGTAGCTTAAACCATCGAGAGAACTGGAAGTTTGAGATATCTATTGGTTTAACTTGGTGGTGATTATGATTTCTTCATAATAAGTCTAATCGATCCTGTTGTATTTTGTGTATTCATTCTACAGGTTCAAAGCTACAAGAGCTACCTACGTAAATGCAATACGTTTGTACGCTAGCGCGCGCTTACGTCTGCTTATTCTTTAGTATGGCAACAAAATCCCATGAAGATGTGATTGAAGAAAATTATGAAGAATTCAGAGAGTGATTTTTTGCTATGATCCTCCAATGGTAATATAACGGTTGCACCAACAGTTGGAGTAACATATACACAGGGGATTCATGTAGTAGTCTGAACCAATTTTGAGCCTGTTTCAATTGATGACCAAAAGGATCATGAGAAATGATACCTGTTGTCCAGCTATGTCTATATCTTGATAGAAACAGATAATTTGAGTGCCACTTCCTCGAAGATCGTTTTGACGGGTGAAAGAAGTTACTTGTGATGGCTTTATTGTCGTTCATTTGTATCATTCATATATCAACAAGTTTGATGTTCGGAAGTCGGGATTCGGATAAATCACTCCGAAGCACGGGGGTTGCCGAGACAGATTACGATAATCATCACCTTCATTGGATTCAATACTCTGAGCACATGGCAAACATTCATCAAAGGTTTCACAATTAACTTCTACGAGTGAATCACACGTGTTGATATCGCCGATATCACAAAAGGGGACTAAATTAAAAATGAGATGAGGTATAGTTTCTTTTGCAACTTTCAATAAACTTCAATCCGAACAACCTCCTTGCGTGGAATGTTAGGTAATCTTTGATCAATTCAACAACCACTCAAATGAGTAATTCAATCGATAATCGAACGGCGGTCGACCGTCTACGAGCGTTATTTAACAATCCCAATCCTGGACCCGAATATGAACCTATCTCGAGCAGTTCTAGTATTCACGAAGACGATGTACGCAGACCAGTCCTCGTCTTACCGGATCAAGCCGAAACTGAGCCCTTCTCATGGTTCGAATATGGAATCTTTATGTTAATCGGAGTGGCAATGCTTTGGGCATGGTATGTACCACTGACGTCTCGGGAGGGCGCAGAAGCTGATATCTTGACAGGAACATGTTCTTAGCAGCGGCGCCATACTTTCAGAGCCGATTCCAAGACAATGAGAGCATTCTTCAACATTTCCAATCTGCGATTACATCCGTTGGAACAATTACGAACCTTGGCTCGATGCTACTCCTAAGTCATCTACAATCGAACGCCTCCTACCCAAAACGTATCATAGCCTCCCTCGTCCTCAACACTATTGTCTTTACGCTTCTTGCGATATCCACCTCATACTTTCGCGATGTTTCGTCCAGTGGCTATCTAACTTTCACATTGATAATGGTATTCGCGACCTCCTGTGCAACTGGGCTTCTACAGAATGGGGCTTTCGCTTTCGCATCAAGCTTCGGACGACCAGAATACATACAGGCTATTATGACGGGACAAGCAATCGCCGGAGTCTTGCCATCAGCTGCACAAATTGCCACCGTTTTAGCTGTTCCGCCGCCCGCCCATTGGGCTGATGTAGACGCCGAAGCTGCAGATGTGAAGGAAAATACAACTTCGGCATTTGCTTATTTTTTGACGGCTACAGTCATCAGTGTTCTAACATTAGTCTTTGTCTACCCCTTACTTCGGAAGCAGAATCGAATCCTTGAGAGTCGCGCGGCGTCGTCAGCTGACAGTGATGAAGAGAGTGACGAAAATGGTAAACACGAGGTTGTTGGTATGGTTAGGCTATTTAAAAAGCTTTACTGGCTTGCAGGAGGAGTATTCATGTGTTTCGCTGTCACAATGTTCTTCCCGGTGTTCACGTCAAAAGTCGTTTCGGTAAGGCCTGCCGATGGAGCTCCTCGAATACTTCAACCCGAAGCTTTCATCCCCCTAGGGTTTTTGATTTGGAATATCGGCGATCTTTGTGGCCGTCTGCTTCCACTTTTACCTTTCCATACCAAGGCACGACCTATTCCGCTTTTCGTATTCTCTATTCTTCGAATTGGCTTCGTTCCTTTGTACCTCCTCTGTAACATCGAAGGTAAGGGAGCAAAGGTTAATAGCGATGTATTCTACCTTCTGGTTGTTCAGGCTGGATTTGGGCTGAGTAATGGCTGGCTCGGCAGTTCTTGCATGATGGCAGCTGCTGAGTATGTTGATGAAGAAGAACGAGAAGCAAGTGGGTCTTTCATGATGACCAACTTGGTTGCTGGTTTGATGGCTGGATCTCTACTCAGCTTTGCTGTAGCCGGCATTTCCTAATTCATCGACTTATACTTATATAAGCATTGGTTTGTATTTATGGGACGGAGTTTAGAGCGAGACAATGCATGGATTGGCGTTGGAGATCACTTTACTAATGACTGAGATGATGATTGTTGATATCATGGGATATCTATGGGAGGGAAGTCTGGATTTTGAGCTTGCATAAGAACAGCGAGAGAATTTCGAATTAACTTTCTACGATTCATAAATGATTTTGTTTTGATGTGAGATGATTGTTATAATATATTGTAAAGTGATAATGGAACGGCAAGAAACTCTCTGGTCAGTTCAGTGCCGTATATATCTAATTATCTCTGGCTAATACTGAACTCTCCACATGTCCTTCGAGAACTACCTAAGCACCCATGGATCTTTAGTGCCCTGAATTATTCTCTTTAATTGAAGTAGGATGTTCGTTTCAAGTACTTTCATTCAGTTTCAAGATATCTTGATAGAATGGGAAGAGATTGGGTTCATAAGTTTATAGGGATAAGACTTCCATCCCTCCAAGGTAATCCATTATCCTTCCTTTCTTCTTTCCCTTGCGGAACTTTAAACGTGAACTCTTCTTCTTTTGTGAAAGTCCTTGGCTCGCACCTTCTACGTAGGGAGCCATAGCAACGATACTGGACAGGTAGTAGCATTTGTTGAGAGATTTCCTTCTCAATCTGAGATTCACCGACCAAACCTTTCCTCGTGCTCACCTCCCACTCCCTCTTTTCTCAACAAGCCGTTGCACAAGACCCAATCGATCTACCAACTCACTTCTTCTTCAGTATTGGGAACAACCTTGATAAAGTCCTCTGGTATCTCTACCTCTTTTCTATCTCAACTCGACAAACTTGGCTTTAGAGGTTCTTCATTGACCACTCCAGTCTTCCATTTTACAACCATTAAAGTCTCTCGATTCCTATTGAGACATTTCTCGTGTATGAGGGAACTATTTGGAAGTATTTTCCAGAGAGATTGGCAGTAGTGCCCGATCGCACAGCAGCTGATTGTAAGCAGATCTTTCTATTTGCACTTAGATTTTGACTGACAGTCCATTCGATTTCTTGCTATAGCAGCAAATTATATCTGGCAATTATCAATTATCGAGTTTAATGAAAGATATCTTGGGCGTCAGTTTTGATACATCGAGGTCAGTAATTTTAAATTTTCTGAAAAATGTTACCCCTTCGGGTAAAATTCCTCCATATTTTTTGTATCATCGAGGTTGGATACTCTTTAGATGTAAATACTAACATACGATTACAGACCATAAGACCCATCTAAAATTCTTCTGAGAAGCCTACTAATGCGACTTCTCCTAATTCCTTGATTTAAAACTCTGAGGGTGATCGAAGAAGGACGCTTAGCTATTCAATTGCTCACAATGAATTTCGGTTCCCACCATAACTCGACACTTGAATAGAAAGACTATTTTAAATAGGATTGTGAGGCATATTCTTTTCTGCCCAATTAGCCTCACCATCTTTCGCACATTTAAGCTCTTATAAATATCACATTATCAACCGCGCTACTTTTACTTGCACACGCGAACTTCTACGCCAAGTACCATCTTGCTACTTCTGCCTGCTGATTCATTCGAAGTCTTCTATTTGACCACCTCGATTTCAAATTCACTGAATTTTTTCTCGCATACCAAAAGTTTTCCTTTAAATCAAGCCATTCTACTCACAACTGGAAAATCAACTTCCTACACTATCTCGGTTTACATTGGATTATAACTTCAACACCACCACAGCAACAATCATCAAAGATTGCATCATGGCCGACGACTCTAATGATGATCATAAAACTGAGGGTGAAGACGACGGCCTTTTGGCTTCATCATTACCATCGCCAACAAAACTTGATGTCAGTAATTTTCAATGCCCGCATCCAGATTGTGGCAGATCCTATGCTTCCAAGCATGGACTTGACAATCATAATAGAGTTCATTTTACTGATAACGAAAAGCCTTTCGCCTGTCCTCATCCAGGATGCCTATCAAGATATACGAATAAGAGAGGAGTTACCCGTCACTTCAATCTCAAACACAAAGACAAAAGTGACTGGTTCAACTGTCCTACGGCAGAGTGTGATTCTTCTTTTTTTGATGAACGACAGCTCAAGTTGCATCAAAGAGAGCATGGACTATTTCGCTGTACTGCGAGACACTGTGCCTATGAGTACACCACCGAGCAAGAGTTATACGATCATAGAGAGGTAACAGTTCATCAAAGCGTTTCGCACACTCAAACACACTTAATCACTAACACATCTTAAAGCGTAACCATACAACTTCTGACCTATATGAAGATCGTACTAGCAAGCGACCACCAGGAATGTCTAAAATAGAAGAAGACCTGCCTGCACAAGCTTCAAGCGGAAAGGAGACCGGAGATGAGATCGTTGTCGACGAGAATTCAACAATACCAGAATTCTGCGAGGATGAAGATAACTTTGAGAATAGTTCCCCCTTCAAGACGCCTACACACGGGAGAGGTAGTAAAAGAGGCATTACAAAGAGAGCTTCGTTGAATGCGGAGGATTATCCTGCAAGACCTAACTGCAAAGGCTGGAAATGTCCCAAACCTGGCTGTACAGTCTGTCGCAAAGTACAGTTTGATATTATTACTCATTGGCAGGTATGCACTCTTCTTTAATATCTTCAATTTCTACC